CGGTGTCGGTGCGAGGCTGCACCTAGAATCGCGCGGCCGCAACAGGAGGGAGGGCCCCTCACCAGGCAAACACCAGGCCCCGGGCCGCTCTCCTCGGAAACCGTCAGAGAGCGCCTTTTCCCACTAATATCCTCCCGTAACCGCTCCGCGAGCGAGGGGGTGCGCGTAGCAGTCCGGGGCCGAAGCCGTCGGAAACGTCGCGCCGCGCCGCGCCCGGCGCTGTCTTCGTGGCACAGCGACGTGTGGAAAAAAACTCCTCCCGCGTGGGAATGTTCGTGTGGAAAAAGCACGAGCTAAAGGACAGCAAAGCAAAAACCCCAACGTGACAGTGATCGCTGTGCTTTTGAGTCTACTTAGTTTAACCTCACTGCTCATGCAAAAATGTTACAGCAAATTCCTGATGGCTTTGGAGAGTTTAAAAATAACTGAGAAAAACAGTATACGTGTACAGAAAACCTCGCTGTCAAGAACTGAATGTCCAAAAAGGAGACAGAGGAGTCCCAAAACTTTATTCAAATAAAGGGAGAGTCCACCAGGCATAGCCCTGTGGGGTGTCTCAAATTGCTGGGGGACGCAGCCCCCCTTTTATCCTAATTTCCCAACTGAGGGACGCCCTCTCCTTTTCCCCCTTGGCCAAGGTCCTCAGAAGTTACAGCCTTCCCGGCCCGCCTACACCGAACTCCGGCCTCCCGCCATCTGTTCTCACCTGAGCTCAGCAACTCCTTTGTCCCCCTTGCTGAAGAATGTGGGGGAATTCCCCTATTTACCTCCTTTGTAAAGGCCCCCATCTCCTTGCAGATGGCTCTTTTTGTCCCACTCGGCTCATGGCTCCACTCAGTCTCCCCTCCCTTTGTCCTGCTCTTCAGCCAAACTGTGGAGAAATCCCCTTATTGGTGAATACACAAACTTGAGCATTCCGCTCAATCCCTCTCTTTTTTTTTTTGAACAATATTTGTTTTTACAAACCTCTACACCATCTCTAGAAGCATGGTGGACTCTGCATAGGTTATTAACTAA